GTACAACGATTTTCATCCGTCCTCATCTGGTGAGATCGACAAACAAATCTCTTCATCATGTACTTTCATTAGAAATGAAGGTCCCCCTAACAATGTGATCAAACAGTTATGTCCTCCCCTAAAACATGTACATATTTCCTATTTGATCCTGCACTGTTGTCACATGTGATCGCGTTAAATTGCAGGTGTGTTGCATGCTTGCAATGCTCATGCAATACATGTGGTTTGAAAGCGTTACATACACACAACACACACACAATGGAACGTAATCACACACGATCCAGGATCAAACAAAAATGTGTAAGTGTTTTAGGTGAGGATATAGCTATTTGGTCATATTTGCATCAGTTTCACACTTTATCCGCAGCCACTTCACTTTTCAACAGCATGGGATGCCTCACTAAGTGGACAAAGTTAGGTAGGATTATAGCCCACACTTTATTGCCCTAGGGCTCAGTGAATTATCGTGAAGCATTATGTACCGTTTTCACGATGTCAGTCACGTGACTGACGAAGGCTCAGCAAGGATTCCTCGGGGTCGCAGGACGGTGCGCAGAAGACCTCTTTGAACAAATCTACTATTCGTTTATACGTAGATTTTGAGACTGTCATTAGATCTTATATAAGAACTGTATTCGCCATATTTCGTGACGGAATGGTACTATGATTTTCCTACAATCTGATAAGTAAGTCTCACTTTTCAATTGAATTGAGTCCTTTATCACTTTGCACGAAGTAGAGTGATTGCAGCCCTCATACATGGGCAAATACGGTATATGCCTTTATCCCCTATTTGACCTCATCTCACCGCAATGTTCAGACCGACAGGCGTGTCGTATGACGCTGCTCGAGAAGGCATTTCAATCAGGTGGCTACAAATTCGCTTTCACCACCCACTGCTCGTCTGGCTCGGAGGCGACGGTGCCAGACAAGCCCCACGGCGCTTCGTTTCATACCACTCGTTCTGACTCGAGACTGGCGAACATGTGCTACAACAACTCACCGGACACATGCTCAGCCGATACAGCAGCTGCTTCCAGGCCCGGCTGCCAAGAGGCCTTGGCCCCGGCTACAGACTCGATGTCGGCCGCCGCTCGACGACGCAGACCGAGTGATTTCACGGTCACCGACCTGCTCACCTCGCAGACAATGCAACGCCTCCTCGAGACGCAGCGCCGGCTCCGAGGCTCGCCCGAAGGCGAACCGTCCACGTCGCCCGTACGTAGCAGCCTGCAGCAGGTCTCTGCTCAAATCGCCTCCGCCAGCCGGGCTCCCGCAGCTGCCGACGACTCGGACTTGTCCGGCTCTAGCCGCCCGGCCGACGGGGCGGCAACCGAAGTTGCCGGACGGCGTTCATCGGCGCCGCAACGCTTAGGGGCTTCGTCGACGACGGGAAAACTGTCCACTGCCTCGATGCAGACACGCCCCAGCCTGCTGGACTCGACAATAGAGGCTGAGTTTGAGATAGACTCGGAACAAGAAGAAAAAGAAACGGAAGAAGACGACGGCGTATGGAACAGCGACACAAGAGAAAAGGACGAAGAAATAAAAAGAGCGGAGGTGAACAAATAAAAATAAATTAGTGGAGGAGTGGCCAAAGGGCAAACTCTCGTTGCCACAGCAACAATCAATCTGAGTATTTTCTTAAGCAAACTCAGTTTTCAGTCATTCATTTCCCATTCATCTCACGCA